TTAGACTGATTCCGAATCAGACTAAGCTCATTTGGGAATTCAAGATTAACATGTACAAGCAGCGAGATTCTAAATTCGACTATTCTGGAACGGAGTCCCAAATGAGCTTAGTCTGATTCGGAATCAGTCTAAATTCTAATCTGAATTGTAAGAATTATATCTTTTCACTGTAGATAAAAAACAGGAAAACAGTAGGGGAGAAACTGTTAAAAATTAGTATTTGGCTAATTTCTCTTAGTCAGTGCACAAAAAATGTTTGTTTAACATGTGGATAATCGAGTAATCGGATGTTTCATCCTTCTGTCATGAGTGGAAATGTAGTTTAACCCTCAATCGACCTTGTTGTTCTCAATCGTTAAATAAAGTTTGATGTAGAGGAGCACAGTGAAATTTTGAAAGAGATATATGTTGAGCATATTTCTTTTGTGTATAGGATTAAGTTTTTCTCTCATTTTTCTTTGATAAGATTTCTTTTCCGGTATAGATAAAAGTACTCATTTCTATCTTCCTAGATAAATGATGTTCGCTCAATTTTATAATAAGGGAGCCATTTAAATTTACTTTCATAAAAAGTTCGGTTTCCGGCACAAAATACTATTCATGATTAATAAATTCGATTGCATTTAACATCAGTATTAAATACGACATTCTCTAAAAAATAGATATATTAGCGACTCCATTTTGTTAATCATATGTTTCTGCTATATTTTTTTCTCTTTTCAGTCACTTATACTTGAAAAGTTTACTGTTTCAATGTCCATATAACAACCATGAGGAATAACGCCCGAGTAATCGCAATTCTATAGATCTTGCAAATGTGAGATAGATACTCACAACAACATTTAACCGATCAAGAGAGAATCTTTTAGAGAAACACATCTACTATTAAAAATTCTTTGCACCTATCTTACTTAAAAACCGAGCAGTAAGTTGATAGTCTTGAATTTAAATAGTATTTCTCCTTCGTTTTAGATGCTTCAGGCTAGATCTGAATGATTATTACGATTGAATTTGACATCAATAGTGTACGACAATGTTGATTAGCAGCATTGGCCTCATGATTTATTTTGCTCTTGTCGGTGTACTTGGTACCATAGGCAATAGCATCATTCTGTTTGCTTATTTTAACCAATGTGGAGCATCAACATCTACCACATTCATCGTTATTTTGGCTTGTGTCGATTTATGGACATGTTCTGTTGTTATACCATGTATCGGCATTATGGAATATAATGACTTTGGTGTCAATACATTATTATGTCGGTTTTATTCGTTCTCTAAAATAATCATCATTGTCTCATCATTCATTATGTCAGCTATTGCATTTGATCGATTTTTTAGTATTGCCTTGCCCCATCTTCGAATAATGACACCACGTTTTGTTAAAGTATTATTAACAATATTAATTTCAATCGCCATATTTCTCGGTATATTAACTGCTCTTGCGTTTTCATCTCAACCGTGGTCATTAACATATGCCATAAACTACACAATCTCATTTAGTGACAATAACTCTATTGCAAAATCAAAAGTTTTTGTGTCCGGCCCAACTGATGATATAGCAACATTGAAACAATCAGTTATTCTGTCTTATTTATCTAACAATAGTACTCCAAAATATTTGAATATGACGAATTTTTCATTTGAACATGTTAATACACGTGTACGATGTTTTGCGGATGTAACAACTATTTCAGACAATTTTCGTGAAATATTAAAACATGTATCGAATAAAATATTTTTTCTTTGTATTGCAATCGTCACTGTATTGTACACAATTACGTATATTCTTGCGCTAAAACGACAAGCACCACGTTTACGAGCGTTAAAACAAAGTATCAATGTTCTAGATCGCTATGATCGATATGATAGTGTATTACAAATGAACAATAATCCCAATGATGGAACAACAGCGCCGGCAAAATCACCATCGTGTTGTACACGATTATTTTTTAATCCTAACCATTTAACAACACCAACAACGAGAAAATTACCTGACCATAGAGGCGAGTTATCAAGTTATGATGAATATGAATTGAATTCACTTGATGCTAAAGTCAAAAATATTGGGAAAAACCTAGCAAAAGATTTGTCAGTATCTCCATCAGAAGAAGAAACGATAGTTCCATTACATCATCAACAAAAAACCGTCTCATTCAATATTGAGCGACCAAATACACTCAAGGATGATAAGTGTATATCGTCACCTATAAATTTTGAAAAAAATAACAATACAACCCGCTATAAACTCAATTGTCTTGGTGCACACCGACAAATTCTTGTCACAATTCATTTGCAACGTCCAAAATTTCCATTTGCTTTTATGCAACGGAGACAGCCGATTCAGTCACCGATTATCAGCAATTCAGATGGAGTAAAAGAAGCAAATACATTATCAATAAGTTCAAATAGTGGTACTTTAAAACGACAACTAAAACGACATCGGATTAAACAAATACGAATGGCATCAACATTTCTGATAATTACTTTGTCATTTATTGTCTTTTATCTACCATCGATACTGAATGCTGAAAGAATCATAAAATCACCAATATGGATCTATTATTTATATTTGTCTACACATGCTCTAAATCCGATTATTTATTGTTTTATGAATGAAAGTCTAAGACTGTACGTTCTGTCAATGTTAAAATGTGCGCAAATAAACGCACTTAACATAACAAATTTTGAAAGATCAGTTAATACAAGATAAAACTATTAGTATCTATTTTCTAAAATAAAGATTTGTAAATATCATTTTACATCTGTGCTGAAATACATTGAAAATCTAGAATATTTAGAACAGCAATGAGTTATTTTATTCAAATTGTCATGCTTTTCTACGTGGTGCATTTAAAAACATTGTGTTTGCTTGCTTGCTTGCTTGCTTGCTCTATATTTGAATTTTATCTTTTTTTGATTTATTTTAAAAATTCCTTTTTACACTAAATAAAAAGTATTTTTTAAGCCATCTTTTAGGGAAATAGTTCTTTAGAATCTCTACTTTTTACATTTATTATTGATAAGTCATTCGCAAAATTAAGTTAGAAGTCAGTTACTATAATGACATACTGAATTTTTCATTAGAAAATTTCCTCATTCAGGAACGTAACAACTATAGAAGAGTGTATGTAACCTTTCTTCTCAAAAATTTTCCATTTTTTTCTCAGCATATATTTTTTTTTTATAATTTATTTTTTATTTGAAGTTACGTACAAAGATTATGCACAAAAATCTCTACTGCTAGAAACTTGGAATTCTGAAAAGGAGGGGACCCGCTTTTCCACTGCATTTGGCCCACTGCTTTTTCGACTTCGTTATGGTCACATATTGTAGAGAAAACGACTTTACACATTGTGAACTGCAAAATCGACCATTATAACATTATGAAGACTTTAAAACAACTTTTCCGAGTA